CCCTCCCCTTACCCCCAGCCTACCCCCCATTCCCACATCCTCCACTGTCTTTTTTATTTAATAAGAACATTTAGAAATTTGTCCACAGGGCCACCTAGACATGGGCCCTCAGCAGCAGCCCAGGCCTGGATGTCACCATGGTTCTAAGTGTTAAGCAGGTCACCCACGTCAGCCTGTTCCTTACCCCATTGCTTCTTCAGCTCCGTCTCTTTCCACAGCACATGAATCGCTCTGCTTCTCTTTCTCTTCCATTTCTCCAGCATGTATTTGCTCATCATAATGATGTCTACCCACCTGGTGCTGTGAGGACCCAGGCGGGCCTGTGGCTGTCTTTCCCCTGCCTGAGCCGAGAGTTCCACGGTATGAATATTTTTATTTATTCAACTGAGCATTATTGGTGAAACTATTAAGGCAACTCCACGTAGTTAAAAGGGAGGTTTATTTTGTGGGGTAACTTACAAGTGAAGGGATAGGCTACAGGGTCTGGGAAAGGTGTGACGCAGTCCCGCGGTGTTCTCTGGAGAACTCTGCTCGGTCCACCTCCAGCATCCAGGGTCTAGGAACCAAGAACCAAGAGAGCCCGAGCATGTGGATCTCAGGTCTTCAGAGTCCTCTCTTGGCCCTGCCTTGTAGGCGTGACAGTTACCGAAGCCTCAATGGGGGTTGGAACTTCCAGGTCAAAGCTGGAATGGCTACCCACTACAGAGCATCAGGATTTTATTGATTTTTTTTTTGTGTGTATGTGGATATTGTCTCTGTATGCTCACATGTGCAGGCACCTGTGGATGCCACAAGAGGGAACTGAGTCCACAGGGAAGTGTAAACCCCTCATCAAAGAAACCTCTCTGTAACTGACGGAGACCATTAGAGAAAACCACAATCAGTGAAAAACTGTGCACCTAAGGCTCAGGGAACATTGTGGAACCAGGTGGTGGAAAGATTGTAAGAGTCAGAGGATCGGGGTTTCGCCATGAGATTGTGTCTCCCAGTGCTATCAGAAGCTATACCCGTAAAGTCCCACCAATGTGACTTCCTAAAAAAAAGAATGATCGCCGGGCAGTGGTGGCGCACGCCTTTAATCCCAGCACTCGGGAGGCAGAGGCAGGAGGATCTCTGTGAGTTCGAGGCCAGCCTGGGCTACCAATTGAGTT